AAGAAGTGCATCAGGTATGTCCCTCTGCACAGCAGCTGTAGACACTCATCCCAGCCCTGATGTGCATAGGTAATGATTTACTCATTCTAGTGCCTGACAACCCACTTGCTGACCCTGCACTTTAACACCTTTGGGCCTCCTCCTCAGTTAGCAGCATGCCCAGCCCTTCCCTCCTTTTGCTTTTCTTTCTCCCTCCTCCTCTTTTCCCTTTTTGCCTAGATTCTCTATTCAGCAAGAGGTCCTCCTGGCTGGAGAACTTTGTACCAAGAAGCAGGCCAGGACAACTGTACAACTGATGTCATCATACACATATCTTCTATTTTAGCAGATTCCCTCTCCCCTTTGAGGCCAAGATGCAGTGCTATCATATTTCAGATCAGTCTCCTGCATGCATTAGTTGATTTGACTTTTTTTGTTGTTGTTGTTCTTAATTGGTACTTTATTTTTTATTTATTTTTCATTACAATCCTTATTACACATATAGAGCACTATTTTCATATCTCTGTACATACAGTATGTTCACGCCAATTTATGCCATTATACATGTACTCTTTTTTTGCATTACAATTCCAACATACCTTATATTCAAATAGAGATATGAAAAATTGTGGTATATATGTGATTTGACTTTTTAACACATTAACTTTTTTCTGCTTAAGAAGTATTGCATGCTTTTGCATACTTTTTGACTTTTCCACGGTCACCATAAAGTTTGAATTTTAAATTATTCTCTTTTTTAAAAATTTTTTGTTATTGTATTTCTTATACATTTATTTATTTTTATGTGATGCTGAGGATTGAACCTGGTGCCTCACACATGCTAGGCAAATGCTCTACCACTGACTACACCCCCAGCCCCTTAAATCATTCTTAATCCTGCCACCTACGTTGTTCAATTTTTACCCTTTTCTTTCTAATGCTTTGTAATCTCCTTTGTTTTTTCACATTATAGTTTCTTTATGTCATTACTCTTGCAGGGGTGGGTATCAGGGACTGAACCAAGGAGCACTTGACTACTAAGCCACATCCCCAGCCCTATTTTTTTTGTATTTTATTTAGAGATAGGGTCTCATTGAGTTGTTTAGTACCTTGCTTTTGCAGAGGCTGGCTTTGAACTCATGATCCTCCTTCCTCAGCTTCCAGAGCCTCTGGGATTACAGGCGTGCACCACTGCTCATTAAATATTTTTTATTGGAGCTTTATAGTTATACATAGTTATTGGGTTCATCCTGACAAACTCATACCTGCGTGGAAATCAATTTCAGTTCATGATCCCCCCTTTTGCCCTCCTGTCCTCCCTCTTCTCCCATTCTTTCTCTACTCAATTTTCTTTGCACTCATCAATTTTTTATTTGATTGGTTTTTTATATTATGCTATCCTTCCCTGCCCCTTTCTTTTATTTACTCTAGCTTTCACATGTGAAAGAAAACACTTGACCTTTGAGTTTCTGAGTTTGGCTTATTTCACTTAGCATGAGATTCTGCATTTCTATTCATTTACTGGCTAATACCATAATTTCATTCTTTTTAGGGCTGAGTAGAATATCATTATATATTCTATATATACACACACACATATATACACATATGTGTGTGTTTATGTGTATATATGTATATATACACACACATATATAATGTGTGTGTATATATACACATACACACATTTTTATATATATATATATATATATATATATATATAAAACAAATTCTTAATCCATTCATCTATTGATGGGCATCTGAGTTGATTCCATAATTTAGCTATTATGAAGTGTGCCACTATAAACATTTAGATTCCTATATTGCTATAGTATGACAATTCTAGATCTTTGGGGAAAATACCAAGAAGTGGGATTGCTGGGTCATACGGTGGTTCCATTCCTACTTTGAGGAATCTCCATACTGCTTTCCAGAATGGTTGTACTAGTCTAAAGTTCCACCAGCAATGTACAAGCATACCTATTTCCTCACAACCTCACCCACATTTGTTGTTCATATTCTTGGTCATTGCTATTCTGACTGGAGTGAGATGAAATCAATGTAGTTTTGATTTACATTTCCCTGATTGCTAGGGATATTGAACATTTTTTTATGTATATGTTGGTCTTTGGTGCTGCTTTTCAGAAATGTCTGTTTAGCTCCACATCATGCACAACCACAACAATGGGATCCTAATTAGAATAAGTTATACTCTATGTATGTGTAACAGGTCAAAATACACTCTACTGTCATGTGTATCTAAAAAGAACAAAGAAAAAGATGTCTGTTTAGTTCTTTTGCCTATTTATCAATTGGGTTGTTGGATTTTCATTATTGTTTTTATTTGTTTTGAGGATTTTTTGGTGTTAAACTTTTTGAGTACTTTATATATTCTGAATATTGGTCCCCTGTCAGAGGAATAGCTGGCAAAAATTTTCTCCTTTAGGCTCTCTCTTCATGCTCATTATCATTTCCTCTCCTGTGCAGAAGCTTTTTAATTTGATGATGTCTCACTTATTGGTTCTTGGTTTTATGTCTTATACTTTCAGGGTTTTTTTAAGTAAGTTGGTGCCTGCACCAATATGTTGAAGTATTGACCCTATATTTTCTTCTAGCAGTTGCAAAGTTTCTGATTTTACTTCTAAGTCCTTGATCCATTTTGATGTGATTATTGTACAGGGTGAGAAATAGAGATCTAGTTTCATTTTTCTATATGTGGATATCCAGTTTCCCCAGCACCATTTGTTTTAAAAAGCTATCTTGCCAGGCTGGGTGGCACATGCCTGTAATCCCAGCAGCTCGGGAGGTTGAGGAAGTAGGATTGCCAGCTCAAAGCCAGTCTTAGCAATTTAGCAAGGCCCTAAGTAACTCAGCGTGACCCTGTCTCTAAATATTTTAAAAGGGCTGAGGAGGTTGCTCAGTGTTTAAACACCTCTAGGTTTAATCTCTAGTACAAAAGAAAAGGATGGGGCTTATATTTTCTCTAACATATATTTCTGGCATCTTTGTCAAATGACTTTGTCAGATGACTCCATGTGAGTTGTCTTTGTGTCTTCTATTCTCTTCCATTGGTCTTTGTGTCTATTTTGATGTCAATACCATGCTATTCCCATAGCACTGTAGTGTGACGGGAGATCAGGTATTGTGATGCACCCAGCATCGCTCTTCTTGCTCAAGGCCATTTGTAATCTGATTACAGTAAGGCTAAACATTTTTCTGTTCTCCCCTACTCTAGACTTTTTGGCCATTTACTCTTGAAATTTGATTGGTCAATGTCTCTTGTCCATTTCCTTCCTGTTGTATTGTTTTCTTATTGATTTATAAACTTCATATATCAAATGTCAATCATTTGTCACATTGTTGAAGATTTTTTCCAAATTTGTTGTCTGCCTTTTTGTTTTCTATTTATACTTTAAGCTTTCTTTTGGTCAAATCTATCTTTTTCTATCTGTGTTCAATAATATATTTTAAACTCCTTTTCTATTTCATCATTATCTAATTATCTACTTATTTTATTCATATTTCTTCATATGGTTTAATTTTTTAAACTAAACTCCTTAATCTATTGGCATTTCTGTTGGTTTACAGCATAAAACAGTCTTTGGGGTAGAAGGAATCTAATTTTCTTTTACAAATAACTAACCATTACTAATTCATTAAAAATTCTATACACATGGATTTTAAAACTTAATTGATTATACACTAAAGATTCAAATTTAAACTATAGTCTACTAACTGTATATTTTTGTATATATAACATATTATTTCTATTATCATAGGTTAACAACACATTTAGATATCAGTCTCACTTCTATTTAATCTGTCTAGTAAGTTAGTTGATTATCAGATAAATTTTATCAGCTTTTGAGTTATAATTTTATTAAACCTAGACATTGAGGATTTGAATAGAATATTTTTCTTCTTTATCTTTTCTAACATCTAACAGGTCAATACTAATTTTTTTAAAAAGAAATTACTCTTTGTTCTTTTCCATTTTTCCCAGTTGATTGATTAAAGGAACAAGCAAACAAACTAATCTTCACATCGGCCTTTACCTGGGTTTCTTATTTGCACTGGCTATTCAGAACAATGTGAAATTATAGTGAAAATAACAAGAATTCTTAATTTCTTTGTACTTTTCACAGTAATACCTCTAGCATTCCACTAAAACAATGTTGGCCCTAAGGACTAGACTATTTGATTTACTGAGTTCTTATATTCCAGGTGTGGAACTTGACTTTTATCCTCTTTCAGCACCTATAGATATTTCTTCTTCTTTGACTTTGTAATATGTTGAACTTCATCAATGTATTTCTTAATATTAAGCCTGGAAAGAACATTATTGACCATATTATGGTTTCAGTAGACCACTGGAAAGTACTTTAATTAAGCTTGTAGTAGCTACATTCATGAATAAGTGTGGTCATTGGCAGATGTTGGTTCTGAGGCCACACGGGCCTGTAAAATGACTGAAAAGTCTTCTGTCTTCTTCCAAAATAATACTTTATGTAGCATGAGGATGATCTGGTTCTTGGAAGTTTGAAAGAACAAACAGTGCCTTCTTTGGAAATAATCTTTGACATATTTTTCAAATTATTTCATGGACATTATGCTTTCAGCTTTTCAGTTTCTTCCTAGAGCAAGTTTTGGAATTTCTCTTTGTCAAGGAAACTCTTTAATTGGAACTGTCCAAGTTATAAACATGGATTTATACATATTTTCCTCATATTTTTAAATTTGACATATCTAAGATAACAGATTGTCCCATTCTTAAATCTGCACAATATCAGAAATATTGTATTGGTGTCTTTTTAATCATTTTAAAGTTTTTGATTTATTTATCAATTTTGCTTTTCAATTAATTTATTTCTATTTCTTTGGACATCCTAGCACTGTACCAGAAGGAATGCTTTATTCTTTTGCATTTTAAACCCCCAAAATAAATGCCATAATACATTACTTTCTCCTTTTAAAAAAAAAAATCTTCAATGCCCTATGTTCCTGGTCATGGTTTATAATTATGTATTTATTGGTGTGACCAATTAAATGTGTCTCCACCATTAGACTACATATTCCAAGACAGAAATCATGTGTATGCTTACTGCTGGACAGACAAGGTCTGCAACAACTTTTTGTTGAAAGAGTAACAGAAAATATAAACAGAATGAAGGACACAGTCTAGCCCTTCACCCTTGTCTTGAGGCCACTGTTTGCAAGGGCCCATAGAGCCCCAGGCCACTTACCAGCCCCAAGAGCAGCTTCTGGTGGTTGTCGTCCTCCTGCAAGAGGAGTGTTAATCTTGGTTCTGAAATTAAACAGAGCAGGAGTCAAGCAGGGTAATTTTCCGAACATGGAACAGAAGGAAGAAGAGTCAGCCCAGGTTTCCCTTCTCTGAGTTACTGGGAAACATAACACTTCCACAATAAAGTGAACATTTTTTAATAGCTAAGTGTGACCCTGTCCTACCAGCTGAACCTATCACTCAGGGGACACCCAGAAAGCTCTGTCAAACAGAGAAAATGACTGAGGATAAAGCAAGCAAAGGAATGCATTGCCCAGCACCAGTAGATTCTGGTTTTGATTTCTCTTTAACACTAAAACTCACCACTAAGAACCTCTACTTCCTAGAGACAGGGACAAGGGCCCTCTTAAGCCCACAGTAGACAGAAGCTGAGGGACAGTGGGGCTTGCTAGAAGGACTACATGACTGTCTTCTATTCTCTGGCCCCTATACACCTTGACTTGGAGCTACTGAGCTGGGGGAACCAGTTACTGTGGCCAGCAATACTAATTGATACAAGTTCTCACTCTGAAAAGCAACCAAGATGGAAAAGTGATATAAATGTTACATTAAAATGACACTTTCTCCACCATAATTGATACTGCCCTAGCAAGACCAGAGAGGCAGACAAACAGTCTTGCTGGAAGATCTGCCCTAATGCTCCCTAACAAGCCTCCTGCTTGGTTCTTCTACTCCCAGAACACCTGAGGCCCAGTGCCGGGCAAGAGGGCAGAACTATCCTGCTCAGCCTGCTGACGATTCCTCCTTGACCTCTCAGGAAAGAACCTACCTCTGTCCCACATAACCTTCATGATTAAGATGAAGCAACCCAAAATGTGAGCTCAACAGTCCTGAATTTTAGTTTTCCATGCAGACATTGGCAGCATTCTTAGTGGGAAACTAGCACAATCAAGCACAGGGAGAAACGGGAAGTTTACCAATGAGCATTGAGAGGCTAACTGGAAACAGGATGCCTGAGCAGAGAGCAGGAGGAGCTCCATAAAAGCAGGGCAGGGAAATGGACACAATCAAAACCCTGCTGGACAGCAGTTTCCATATTGCAATACCCACAGCAAGGCAAGGATGGCGAGCCTGGATCACATGCTCGCCCCTGTCTGGCAAGGCAGAGCCCCTGGTTTCAATCACGGATGGCCTGGTAATAGGCAGAGGCTGGTTCCCTTGGGGCAAATTCACCACCATAGTTCAGTGGGCTGTGTGCACAGCTGTGGGGTTTGCAGTCACATAAATAATTTCTGTTACAGTCCCCCCAACAAACACCTAAAACATTCAAATCCATAAAACGGGAGTAGGATATAAAAACAACAGCTTCTTTAATGAATGCTGACCTTCATGAGGCAGGAAAGTGTTCCCCTGACACCTACAAAAAAAGGATTGTACCTGGGTATACTCAGCATTCCCCTCCCTTAAATCCCCTTGTTTGTCAAGACAAACTCCAGTTATCACCTCTGGGAAGCCTCTTCCAGCCATTCCCACTCCCGTCTTCGCCTAGACTAACCCCTTGCATGTAGGGGGCTTCAGAATACTGGTTACTTGGTTTAGAAGCGATTTGTTAGCATTTCCTCCTCACTCATGATAAAGCAGCCACTAAAGGCACTTCACAGGCACCAAGGCCCATACTAGGTGCTGGGTGTCACCCTCATTTCTCCCTGACCTGAGGAGGACCATGCAGGAAATGCACCGCCAGCACCTCACCTCAGTGCTGTTGCTCAAGTTTTAACCAAAATGAAAGGTGCATACAAGTCAAAGACCCTGTGTGATCAGACAGCTGGAGAGAAAACCAGAGGGAGCCAAGAAAATTACCAAAGTGCATCCTGGGGTACAGCCAGAGGGCATGTTAATTTGCTCAGCTACGAGGAGAAACAATGAAAACCAGAGGGTCAACTCCCAGGGACTCCTCCAGCAAAACCACATTCAGCAGCTGTCCCTGGATGTCCTGGTGCCAAGACAGACAGGGAAACAGCTATGTGGTCACTTTAATGAGGCAACATTAAAGGGAGCAGCCTTCATGACACTACTGGAAGTGATTTTCCTGCCAATCCACAGCGGTGGGACAAGAACAGTGTTACACACAAAACACAGAAATCCAGACGACTGTATTACAAATCTTTTCTTACCCGAATTCCTTGCTTCTATGTTAGAAATCACCCTACAAAGAAATTAGCTGTGTTATTCACATAGGAAGCATTATTTAAAAAAAAAAAATTAAAGCCACAACACCATACAAAGCTATCTTCCTTTACAAAACCATAAAACCACTGCAGAAACTGTTCTCAGGCCACTAGAAACCTCAAAAACTTTTCAATGTAGCAAAAAAAAAAAAAAAACACATTTAGGCAATTATAAAGTCTGTAAACCTTTTAGTGCCAACAACGGCAATAATTTAGAACAATTGCAGCTCTCAGTTATTAGAAATAATGGAGGTAGAAAATAGAACAGAGGTTGGAACAGGGCCTATACTTTTAGCTCTCCGATGACTCATCTACCCAGAAAATATGGCTTCAAAATAAGAGCAAGCTCACCAGCCCACTAACAGTTTAAAACAAAACAAAACCTCTCGGCTGCTCTTGTCCTCATAAGCGCTCACTTAGTAATAGCTGTTTACCACTTAGCCACTATACGTCATCCAGGGTATAAGTCTTTAAGGTTTAACACACAAGCTTTTCCCACTGAACTCCCGCACCAACTCCAGAAGAGAGCCTAGGCAGGTGCGCTCAGGAAGCCAACAGCTTTCCTGAACATATACAACAAAAGCAAGCTGCTTCTTTGAAAGGCGGCCAGCAAGGTAAGATGCCATCTTTAGTTCTACTTACCTTTTTGCACTATCAAGAATGTTCCTCATGTATGCTGTGGACCTTCTTTTTCCTGTTTTCTAGGAGTGAAAACATGCCAGAAGTATAGAAGGTAAAGCTTGTGTGGGTGGCTTTATTTGTTTACTTTATTTGTTAAATAACTATTTATTTTTATGTGGTACTGAGGATCAAACCCAGTGCCTACACATACTAGGCAAGCGCTCTAACACTGAGCCACAACCCCAGCCTGAATTTACTTTTTTTTTTTTTCATCAGGGACATACTGCACTCTGGTTAAAAGATTCAGAAAGAAGAAATATACTTTCCAGGTAATCAGAACACCAAGACTTCCCCCCCCACCCCCGCCACCCCAATGCTGGGGATGGAACCTAGGGCGTTCCACATGCTAGGCAAGCATTCTACCACTGAGCTATACCCTATTCCAGCACAGATTTTTTTAAAAAAATTCTTTTAACATTTTACTTAGAAACAAGAGACTCAAAGGAAGTTGCAAGCCAGCTATGTATAACAACACTAGACTATATACCACAATACTCAGAGAGATTCTGGGTACCCTCCAGTTAGTCTCCCCCAATATTTACATCTTATATAATTATACTACAATCTCAAAGTCAGGAATCAACACTGGCTCAATGTGTGTGCATAGTTCTATGTCATTTTATCACAAATCATTTCATGTCCCAAAATGTAATTGATACACAGAACTATTCCATCACCCCTAAAGATCTCCCTTGTGCATACCCACTCTTCTCCTTCTCAACTCTAGCAACCACTAATTTGGAAACATCTAGATTTTTTTAGTGGGGGGGCAGGGTGTGGGGGATTGAACTCAAGGGCACTTGACCACTGAGCCACATCCCCAGCCCTATTTTGTGTTTTATTTAGAGACAGGGTCTCACCGAGTTGCTTAGCACCTCACTTCTGCCAAGGCTGGCTTTAAACTCGTGATCCTCCTGCCTCAGCCTCCTGGGCTGCTGAACATCTAGATTTTTATAAATCAACTTCTAACTTTATAAGTACTTAAAGAAAATATCTGAGACATGGTTATCGGTCACAATTCTCTGAATACACTGTACATCCCGTAACCCATCTGTACTGTGGTTTCTTAAAGAACAGAGATCACAGAAGTGCCTTGGCTTGCTTATCAGGAGATCAGTAATGACATTAAACAGCTTGGCAACTGAGAACCATCAACGTCAAGGTCAAGTGACCTTGTGATCTAATCCACGTGTGTTGGCTGCTTGGCGCACACATACCTCTTCAGAGATCAGGTTGTGCCACTCTCTCTTGACCACACTGTTGTTATAACATAAGTATGGCTTGGCGTACTTAACATAGTCTAGGTTGGAGTTCAGTTTTTCCCAATAACCCTTAAAGCTGTGGACCTGTGGGAGATAAAACCATCAGCCAGTTTGAGAAACAAGCCTTGCAGCTCAAAACACCCATCAAGGATTACACAAGCCTCACTTCCCCAGCTCTTGGTGACAGTATTTCTTAGTGAATGCTTCACGGGAAGGACAGCAGTCTGATCCCCACAGGAATCCTAAAGCAGATCTGGCCTTTAGACGCTATCTTACCTATCCCCTTTCCAACAGAGAGAACTGCTGCTGACTTCCCGAAACAGATTTCTCTGGGTTGATTCAATGGGGAAGCCTGTACTCGACACAGCAAGCCATTTCCTCCCTAGAGACCCATTTTATGACTTGGGTGGTGTCAAAAGTGCTGTGTTCAGAGACTGTACACAAAATTTGGAGCAAGCAGAGTAAGCTTACTTTCCCAAGTTTACTTAATTACCAAATACTGCCCATCACAACTATTAAGGAAAAGTACAAATGGTTACATGAAAGGACTGTTTCCCACTTATGATTTGGATTGCCAACTGATCCAAATACAAAAAGAATTTTTAAAGAAGGATAAAATGAACAAATTTCACATTTGGTTGTCAAATACTCTCAAACAGAATTAGCTGATTTTCTCAAGTCTTTGAGTTATTATTGATCATACTATCCTGAACAAAGAATGTGTATTTATTTTTAACAATAAAATGCAATGCCAACACCTTTACTGTTGGAGGATACTGACACAAATTGGTTTAACCCAAGGAAGATGGATTTATGACACATTCCTTCTTGCCAAAAATGTACATTAATAAAAGATTTGATGCAGCCAAGGATGACATGTGTGACCATTCAATGCTCTATTGCCTACTGTGGCGATAGACTTGGCTGAATTTCGAGAAAATAAGGGGATTTAAATAAACTACACCTCAATCAAGAAAGGTACTCTAATGTTAAGTAACAGCATCTCATCTGAATTTTTATTGAAAGGATGGTCATAGTTGGTTTGAAATGGATTTTGAAGTACCTGTAAGATGATTTACATAACATTTTAAATCTTGTTTTAGAAGCCTGAAATGCCCATTTAGTCAATGTCTCTTCTCTCAGAGACAGAAAAAAAAATCTTTAATCAGTGTAGCAAAAGCCACATTAGACAATAACAAAATCTCAAAACCAAAACTAAGGAAACATGTATTCCTGGGGGGAATAGGATCACAAAGTCAAGGCTGACTCCTCACTTGAACCACCTTGCTCGCCTTTTATTTATTTATAACAAATGTGCCTTATCCACCCTTTGTTTCTTCTCAGTATTGAAAAAATACGTAGGACAAATCCTATGGGCCTTTGGCAGGATGAAGTGCCTAACTGGAGGTCACTGCAGCTTTGTTGCTTCCTACATCTGGACTCAGGCACATTGGTGCCAAAAGCAGAAACCTTGATGGTGTTGTGGTGACACCTAGTGGCCACTACTAAGCCTGCCTGCTTTGCCACCAGGCCCATGATGGCATTCATTCAGACCTTGCCCAGAAGGGAGGCAAGACACTTAGTGCCTTCTACCTGTTTCCTGGCCTCATCCCCTCAGGCCAAATGCTGTCCTGCTGTCAGAAGACCACACTCCCCCTTACCTTCCTCCTCACACCATTAAAAAAAATTCCTTTCCTCAGAATCTGTGTCACCCAAGAATAAACTAATGAAGCAGAATTCTGGACAAGTCCATGGTTAGGCTGCAAGCAGCTGAGCACCCACTGGTTGTGTGTAAAAATGGAGTCCGAGTGCTTGAATGAACACTCTTCTGGGGAGAGAGTCTATACCTTGTACCATATCTCAAAGAAATCCATGGCCTAAAATGTCCAAAACCTTGGAGTTAAAAGGAAAGGGATCTGAATTTAAGACAGAAATTAAAATTTACATGTAAGTAAGAAATATTGATAGCCAAAGGCCCAGAAATATTTTCACGTGGAACTTATGATCTTTCAGAGATGTCACTGCTCTATTATAATAACTACAATGTCTTACAGAAATTAGGAGAATACAAAGGAAAAAAAGAATCAATACATATGCCATTGTTTGGTATCTACTAAGTAAATGATGCAATTTCTTTTAAGTTATAAAAATGTGGAGATAAAAAAAAAATAAAAAAAAAATAAAAATGTGGAGATCACTGAATTGAAAGACAGTACCTAGTCCTGTAACAATGGCAATAGTTCAAGAAGCACATCACCAACTGCATGAAAAGAACGCTTACTGTTTTAAAACACACAGAAATGATTTATATGGAAAATACCTATGAATTTAGCTCCTTCCCTCCAGGAAGACTGGTACTAGAAGCAATGAGATTCTCAAGAAATGACCCAGGAGCACTTTCCTGCACAAAAGGGAACCTTAACTTTTGATTTGGAAAACAGGGAAATTATTCCAAGTCTCTTCTTCAGAAATAATCTCATTTGTTCTCATAAGATGACTTGAAATGATTTCCAAATGCAGCCCATCACAACTAATAATTAATCAAAAGCACCCATGTGTTATATTAACAACTGTTTCCCATTTTTAATTTGAATTGCCAACAGATCCAAAAAAATAAAAATAAAAATAAAACAAAACAAAAAAGCCCCATGGTACTGGCTCATCTGCAAACTACTGTCAGGAATAAACATCTGCCTTTCATTTTTACAAAGTCCCCTGGCTTTGATCCTACTTCTGCTGATTCTTAGCACAAGTCTTAGGGGAGGTGGCCACCTCAGAGAGAACCTTTCCCTCTGTGCCAGGACTCAACTAGCAGAGCTAAAGTGCCAGACCAATTTGGCTCTTCAGTGGATCTCATCTCAGAATCAGCTTTTAGTTACAGCCAGAGAAACAACAGCAACCCACCACCTCCAGCATAGACAGAATCAAAGGCAGAGAAATGCCTATAGGGACGTAAATTAGTAAGAGACCATACTAAACTAAGGTACTTTAAACAGGCACAAACAACTAGAACTCCTGAGGCTGCCCACTGAGAGAACTGCAAGTTCAAGGTCTCCTTCTCCTTTGGGACTTCCTCCTTCTCCAGTATCTAACAAAAAAATTCCACTTCCTTGCCCAGCGGGGTGGTTTAGCCATTTTTTTAATGGGCTGGATTTTTCTTTAATGCAATCACTAAATATGGCTCTAAACTATTCCATCTCACATTTGGCTCTCTCAGAGCATATCCCCTGAGAAAGCCTTCCTCTTGACCTTAAAACTTAAGGCTGACACAAGAGGAACAAAAACAAGATTCCTTGATCCACAGTCTGTTCCTGAATTTTATCAGCAAAGAATTAGTCTGATCTGTATTTGGGGTAAAAATGGGAGTTCAAAACCCAATTGAGTCAAATGTATGAAAGATGATATATCATGAGCTCTGTAATGTTTTGAACAATCAATAAAAAAAGAATTAGTCTGACTATATCCCCATCTCCCAGAAATGATAGGAATGAGGTCACCAACCAGAAGCTCTGTTTCCAAAAAGTAATGTTTTTGTAGCATCATAAAATTATGGTTTATGATATTAACTGAATTCACTACAACTCACTGTCCCAGAAAAAAAAAATGTGTGGACTGAACTGTGTGTGTGTGGGGGCGGAAATCAGTGTTTCCCATGTGACCACCTGACACTTCTGATGATACTACCTTTTGCAATGATTCTAATTTTTAAAAATTGTGAAAGATAGCATTGTGATTATGCTGCTACTTGGGATCACTTAGCAAATCTTTAAGGGATGCTATCTGTCTGAATTTCAGAGGGTCAAGGAAAATAAAGTGTGCTTCACTAAGCAATTAATTATTCTCTTGTTCTGTCTAGTTAAAACAGCTTTTAAACTGTTTCATTTTTCACTTTTTTTTTTCATTTTTTTTTTATTGGTTGTTCAAAACATTACAGAGCTCAAGACATATCATCTTTCATACATTCGACTCAATTGGGTTTTGAACTCTCATTTTTCACTTTTTAAGTGAAGAAACACACAAACAACCTTCTGGATGGAGAACATCCCAGGTATCAATCAGTCTTCCCAGATGCTCAGGAACTATAGATCCCTGATTGACACTTGCAGTAACCTCCCTCACCTCTGGGTGGCCATAGGTTAGAAGGCCCTTTAAGTCTTTCTGGTCTTCCCAATTTCTGGGTCAGGTAGCCGGTAATCTCTACAAGTGATCAAATACATTAAAAGTGTCCAATTTAAAAATATATATATTTTGGTAAAAATACCCCATTATGTCCATTTGTAGCACACTCTTTTTATATTTGAGTAAGTTATTGTTCTCTTTTTTAAATCATTACATGCTTCCTGTGGTTGACTAGCTTTAATGGTTTCTCTTTTCACCATAAAATCAAGGGCAGTTTTTGGCTTCTTATGAATGTCACTAATTCCCTAGAGCAGCTCACAGCTCACAAAAGGATAAAATCATTCTTAGGAAAGTCTCTCTTTGTTACATTTTATTTACAGCATGGACCTTGCTTAATATTTTACAAACCATTTATAAAATGAGAGAATCTTGTCTTTCGGATGACAATCTTCTAGTTTAACTGGTTTATCTTCTACAATGTGGAAATACATAAACTGGTGACTTATAAACTACAGACATTTACTTCTTGAGACTAGTTCTTGAGACTAGGGGGTCCAAATATCAAGGCGTTGGCAGATCTGGTGTCTGATGAGTGGTCCTGTCCTGGTCAGCTGTGTTTCCACTGCAAAAATCATATGGCAGAAGGAACAAGCTAGCTCCTCAGTGTCTCTTTTAACAGGGTACTAACCTCAATCCTGAGGACACTTCCCTCAGACTTAATAACCTCCTAAAGGTTCCACCTCCTAAAACCAGGGCCTTTGTGGATGAGGACTTTAACATAGGAATTCAGAGGGTCACAAGCATTTAGACCATACCAACATATTAAAATATTTGTGAAGTACTCTACTTCTCACTAAAATTACTTGCAAAAGGAGCAGGAGGAAAACACACATCTAGTTTCCCTTAGCTCTTTCCTCCTTTGACCCTTTACACTAAGGAAAGTAGAAGTGCAGTCAGTTGAACAAAATAGGGCCCTTGAGCCTCACTGGGATTCTGGTGTAAGAACCTATCCCAAAGGTAACTTGCGATTCAGGTCATGGCATTCAGCGACAACACCTACCAGGTAGCCAGGGCAAGAATGGACACAGAACTGGGGTTGGAGAGGCAGGGGCAGAGGACAGCAGGTGCCTCTGCCACAGTCCATCACAGTGTAATTAAGCTGAGACCGGGTAGGTAAAAGTAGGTCAAAGATAAAAGCAGCAGCTACAGTGAGTGGCATTATGCAAATACAGAGGGAGAAGAAATGGAAGCCCTCAGGGCCAGGCTTTCCATGAACCTGAAGGTACTGATTAGCCTTGCACACTAATAACTGGGGTGGGAGTGGAGGCAGCTAGTCACACCAAAGCCACTTCATCATCTCCTGCACCTAGTGAAGTCCCAACAGTGTACCTCTGCCTTCCCTGATGGATTATGTCTGGTAAGAAGGATGGTAACAGATCTACAGTTCTTCAAACTTGTCCCAGGAAACTACTAGCTTATGAATAAACCAAAGCGCTCCCAAGCACATGTGGGAATGTCCAATGAGAAACCACTCTCTGCAGACTCAAATGCTGAAGATTATGGGCGAAAGGAGAATAAAGGGAAGAGAGAGGAATGTCAATGGAGGAAAAAAACAGAACACAAAAATCATTTTATACACACACACACAGAAATCTGCTAGAGTGTGTAAAAATAAGTTACTCTGTTTCTAAGCAAAGTCAAATATTATTCTTAGAACAAGCCAATGAAGGGATGGGGATGTGGCTCATTGGTAGAGTGCTTGCCTAGCACACACAGGGCCCTAAGTTCAATCCCCAACTCTGCTGGAGGGGTGGGGGGTGTGGAATAAGACAATGAGTAAAAAATCTTAAGAGGACCTTCCCATTACTCTTTTCTACTTAGTTTAAATGAAAATGCACAATGTCGATAAGGTTACTATCCAACTGATAAATTCACAAATCCTTTATGATAGTGTAAATTATTACAATTTTGTTGAATATTAATTTGCCAATAAGAATCAAAAACTATAAAAATTATCATAGTCTTTTACCCAATGAGAGTCCTGGCATTTAATTTTAGGGGAATAAATTAAAAATGAATTAAGACATATTAGAAATCATAAGTTTATGTAGTAATGTGAAAAATGTTTATGAGATGTGATAATCTGCCGTGTTTATCAAATGTCTCTGGGTCACCATTACTACCAGGTAAAATAGGCATGCCTAAGGCAAAGGCCAAGAGGAAATGAGGGGCAGGCAACAGTTGATATGCTAGAAATTGTAGAATTGTGGGTGACACCTTTTTTCCCCTAAAAATTTTCTTCACTAATTGTACGTTAAACACCATATGGGTTTGGTAAGACTACTGGTAAAGACAGAAACAATGAAATAAAAGGATGGCATCTCTTAACACACCTTTCAAAACTATTCATGAAATCTTTCTTTCCCTTCATCTTCCTACATTAGTAGGACTTCACAGTCATCCTACGCTTCCACCTAGAGACAGCTGGTCAGTGTCTCTTTCAGGGACTCTTTTTAGAACCAAAACCTAGAACCACTGAACAACTCCGGTCTGCTCTCTCTTGCCATTGGTGCATCACTAGACCCTCAGACGACCCCAGCCTCTCACAGCTGCAGGGACCTGGCCTGCCCCTCATGGATCCAAAAGAGTCAAATGTAAATAAAAGGCAGCAGCCCACTGAGCTGCCTGCTGCCAAAAAGCCGAGATTTCCCAGTCCGCACCAAGCTATAATTACCAGGAGGCAATGCCAGGAACAACAGAGGAACTTCAAGGAAACTATGAAAAGACTCCCCAGTTTTAAAATACATACATATTCTTTTCTACTCACACCAGCTGCTCCTCCCATTTTACGCTGAAATCACCACAAAGACACTAATAGTCACAGTTCAGTGCATAGGAAGGAGGTATGCAGAGCTTGACTGAGCCCTGCAGATCAATGCAAAGGCCATAGATAATCCTAGCCCAGGTCATTTAATGATTCTAAGATGAATAACTGTGTGCTTACATTTTGAAGTGACCATGAAAGAAATAAAAAACAGTTCCCTGGTTCTCTGAAGATAATTTACAGGAACTCCAGTAAGAACCGGTTTGAGGCACTATGGCAAGTATTAGTTGTATATGGTTTAAGCTGAACCCTATAATTCTCACCTATCTTCAGAAAACTGCTCTCTCAAAAGAGCATTCCTAAGAGGTGTGTAACATCATACTCAATGACTACTCAACCAACCCCTTCCCCCCCCCCCACCATCCTCCCCTGCCATGATGCAGTCCCTTTTAGAACCACCATTACTGGGGGCAGCAAAGGTTCAGTCATGCACATCTGTGCTTTCATCCCTCAGCGGAAGTGCCTTACCTTCATGAGAGGCAATTCAATCTCTTCCGTCACAAGGGTTATTCCAGGAATTTCCTATGGAGGAAAAACACACACACCAAAAAAAAAAAAAAAAATCCTGCTCAACATATCAACTGCACAAACTCAAGTCATCAGGAAGTGTTTTCTGCACAGACAGCAGCTGAGAAAAGTTTCCAGTTTGTGAACCTCTACTTTAAATAAAGTCTGGGGTATATAAATAGCAAACATGGCCTATTGCTTGCCTTAAAAAGAGGAAAAAAAAATTTTTTTTTTTTTTTGAGACAGTAGCTCACTGCATGCCCAAGCTGGTTTTCAAGTCACCTTATGAGTAGCTGAGCCACAGGGGCATGCTGCTGTACCTGGCTGAAATATTGTTTAATCACTAATTGGCAGGGTCTCTAAAGAAACAAATCACTATGGAAAAAAAATAGAGCAAATATATTTTTTTTACAAATTTCTATTTAAGAACAAATCAGGTGAATTATATTTGCACCATCAAATGTAATAAATCATTTGCACTTTCTTCTCTTTTCTTCTCTTTCATTTATGTGTATTATAGTTGGCCCCTGCCTCACAAAAGGAACCAAAATTAATAGGATTTTAACATTCAAATGGAAAATGTTTGTGCACCTCGCTATCTACCATGATTCCAGAGATAAGAACTTCCCATAAAAAATTTCTATAGTACCATGGTCAGGCTAAAAGGTAAGCAATTCATACCAGAAAGTTCAAATGACAACATTTTGCTAATCAGTGAGCATTAAAACAGACACTGAAAGAATGAATATCAAAAATTGCCCTTTATTCATTGTTATTTTGAAAAACTATGTCTCTGTGGTAGCTGTATAATTAGCCTCTCATCTTGTCATTTCAGATTCCCGTAAGAGACAATTTAAGAAGTGCTTTGTAAAACTAGGAACTGGTCTTTGGTTAGGGCTTAAGTGACCTGGATTTGACTAACATACAACATCCTATGAAAACAAGGCATCACAGCAATAGAGAAAATTTTCAGAACATTTCAACAACTGAGGTCTCCATACAGCAGCATGAAGCCTGTGGTCAGATGTATTATGAGCTTCACTCGTCACTACTCAACCACAGAGGATACCTCAAAACGACATTAAAATTGCCATTCTAGGCTATGATTAGCACTTAAAATAGGTACAACAACAGCATTTTAAAATAGGTCTAATTATTTGCAAAGCACAATTCAAGATTATCTACATGTAGGAGTACCATATTTTCTAGTATCTTAAATATATATATATATATATATATATATATATATGTCAGTTGTCTCAATTCAGAAGCTTGAAATTAATATTTTTCTACTGTGGCAAGTTTTTTTTATTAAGGTTGTAGCATTAAAAACATTTGCAAAGATGACCTGAAGTGGGACTCTTAACGATTAGGAAGGAGCCAGGGGAGGAAACGGAATAAAAGGGAAGGTGAATCTGACCAATGCTGATCAATACATGGATAGGAGAATACAGGAAAACCTGCTAATTTGTACAGTTAATACATGTTAATTTGAAAAAAAAGAACATTTGCTAGTCAGAGAAGGGGACAGTAAATTATTTACATCATTGCTAAAGATAAGCATAAATTCATAGAACTTCATGATGAGAAGAGATCTTTAAGATAATCTACTCCAACCACAAGAAGTTTTAAAGCAACATGGTAAACCCCAAAATAAGCCTGGTACATGTAGGTGATAACTGGTGGTTTCTTTTCATTGTTGTTCGATGTGGGACTTCCTGATGTCACTCTGCATATGTTCACAATGGCCTCTGTGTCCCATAGAGTGTTAAGAAATGCAGAAGTAAAGTATGTCCCTTCAGGATGACTTCCCCACACAACGTTCAATTAAAACGTGCTCTGTCTTTCAGTACAATGCTGGGAACAGTGGTCCCAGCCCTGCCTTCTGAACACTTTGAACACAGGACATAAAAGCAGTGGGTGATAAGGGAGGGGAGCTGCTGTGTGCATTTCCTGACCTCAGAGTGTTGCAACCTGCAGACTTCCTGCCACCAAACCACAGAGTCTGCATGTACATTCACAAGTCTTCTTCAAGAAAAACATGGGTGCCTGGAGGAGGGGCAAGCGCAGGTTTTCCCCTCATAATTCTACAGTGAAGCATGAAAATCTACTAACTGCAAAGGTCAAAGAAGAAGGGGCCTTCAGCAAAACACTACCATTGTGCTTATCCGAAGTTTAGAAATTAATCAAACACATGATATGTCTTTGTTAAGGACTATATTAAGATGCAGTCTAAACACAAAATGAAAGTGTCACAATCTACTCTAGGACTTATTTTCCTGTGTCTGTATTACCTAAATCAAATTTATTTTTCTAAATACATTTTTGATACGACTTCTGCCTCAAGACTGAGCATGTAGTTCCAACATCTAAATATGAAAGGCAAAGAGGCAGAACCTTTTTCAGGCACAGGCTATGCATTTTCATCTGCTGATCTAATAAGGCTCAGTTTACTGCACCACATTCAAGAGAAAATGAATCGTGTTTCAGGGGAACACTTCCGAATTTAAAAGCAAAGAGCCAAGATCAAAGGAAGAAAATGTTGAATAGAGCGTGTTTACTTACAATTTCAAGACTTTTACTGATCTGGAAGCTTGAGTAATTATTGCGACTGGACAAAGAGGTCATGAAGATCCTAATCTACCAAGTCTAACTGCAGTGGTCTGGCCATTTCTCATTTATAAAAAACCTAATACATTAATCCACTCAAGGCAATAAAAAACTAAAAATACCATTTTATAAAAAATACTACATTTGAGGTTTAGTCCTGCCTGGCAGTATGAAAAGTAACAAATATCCTGTACTCTCTCCTTTACTCCTCCTGCTTTATATAAATACTTTTGGCCAAGGACAGGGATTCACTCTACATTGAGCATCCTTTACCCAAAATGCTTGGGATGAGAAATAGTTTGGATTTTGGATTATTTCATATTTTGGAATATTTGCACATACATAATGAGATGTCTTAGGTATGGGACCTAAATCTAAACATGAGATTCATTTATATTTCCTATAAACTCCTTAGGTACATAGCCTGAGGGCAGTTGTATGTAATATTTTACCTATGTTTCGACTATAACTCATCACTTGAGGTCAGCTGTGGCATCTGTTGACACTCATGGTGTCAAAAGTTTTAGATTTGGGGGTGGGTGTGGTGGTGTACACCTGTAATCCCAGAGGCTCAGGAGGCTGAGGCAGGAGGATCACAAGTTCAAAGCCAGCCTCAACAATTTAGTGAGGCTCTAAGCAACTCTATGAGACCCAGTCTCTAAATAAAATACAAAAAGGAGAAAGGGGGTGCTGGGGATGTGGCTCAGTAGTTAAGCATATCAATTTTGGAGCATTTCAAATTTCAGATTTTCAGATTAGGAAGGCTAAACTTTTCTGCCATAAAATTCCAACTCAATTCCTCATCAGTCAAAACAGAAATGAAATAACCTTGGCTGCTATAGCAGGGATGTCCTACAACTGACCCACACTGTATATCAAGTTTAATTGCATACAAAGTATTAACTTACTGTATTCCAGGTGAGCACTGAAGAATATGGCAAAATCGTGTCCACATTACTTGTCTTTGCATATATGCTCCAATAAGAAGAAGCTGAATAGATTTTTCAAAGAGAAAAGAGACATGATTTAATAAGAATAAGGAAATCTACATTATAATTCAACCAAATCAAGCAAACCAACCAAAGTTTCCACTGCTTTATTTATCATCCTTAAAAGGTTAACCATTGCGATTTTATCTATAGACTAAAATGCTTAAGTTCTGCTTTTAACAATGAGAATAATTTCAATTTTTTTTAAAATTTGCTACCACATCTACTTAAATGACACTACACCACTTTATACAGAGCCAGACAACATAAAACTGGGCTAAGAAAGATTTTATTTTTTCAAAGTCACTAATAAGGTCACAAAATCAAAATCCTATCTTATATCTTATCTGTGTCTAAAAAGCCACAGCTTCTCAAAAACCACAAGAGAATGAAATTTAATTAGCTGCTGACTGCAATAGTTTTTTTTTTTAATGTTCCTAGGCAGCATTTTGACAGATTGAGGCATTCATTATCAATTTATTGCTTTCCCTCAAGCAAAAGGGTCAAGTATTCGACTTAGCGTGCAACATCAGCATCTCTTACCAATTATAAATTCCTGAATGAGGTCAAATGAATGGCAGGCAGAGACATTCTCAGAAATCCACTGAATAATCTTTAAGAAGAGAACAGAACTCTGTTGGTATTTAAATAGGCACGCCATCCCCACAACCAAAGTACAAATGTACATATATACACATACCTGTGTTTATATACTATATAAATGAATCTTTTTAATTCTATGTTTTGGAATTACCTAGGAATACATTCACTTCTACACTATTTTTTAAGATATGTAATAATATTAATTCTGGCTGGGTGAAACAGTATTATAAATGAGACCTCTTTTTATAGATTTTTAAAATAAATGCCCTTGACTGGGATCCAAATAAACCTTCTTCAGTGCCAATGAAGGTTTGCTGGTTTTGCTAGAATGGATGACGTCATGCAAGGCACCAATGGGGAGAGCTCTGAGATACAGAAACAAAGGAAGCAAAACCACCACCAGACTTGGAGGCAGCACCTGTCTGTCAATCTCCACAGCTACCCTCACCTGCTGGAAGAATGTCTCCTGAGGGTTGCCTGGCCCTAGTGCACACTCACATTTCCGCTCCTACCAATATGTTGTTTTATTCCAAACTTATTTATGCCAGTTTTACTTATTTTCA